ACATTTGACTGAGGATGTCTTTTGAATAAAGACGAAACGTCTCAAACAGAAAATAGTCGATTTTCATGATGAAAAAGGTGGTGTATCTCTTATTATCTTTATTTTTTTTGTTCCGGTGATATGTTCAATAGATACTTCGTATATTTTGTTTGGTTCATTCAACTAAAAATATTTTTATTTTTTACTTCTAGTTTCTGAAGAAGAAAATGAAATTTGTGATACACATTAGGTAACATCATTAGGTACAAATATAACTATTAATTCAACACATCGTTATGATATTCGTCGTAATAGTAACAATAGTAACATGATGTCTTCGTCTATGAAAACAGGATTAACAACACTCGATCACATCTATAATTGTTATGATGATTTTAATAATTGGTTGATGAATAGTATACGCTCTGGTTCAATTATACGCTTAAAATATGCTTATGAAAAAATGTTATCGATGACGGGTGACAAAATGCCAATGCACGAATTCAAAAAAACAATAGTAAGCCATAATAATAATAAAATCAAGTTATATATGCGTCCAAGAAAAGGGACATTTATAACTATGTCAACACCAGAACAATATGCTAATTTATTAATAAATAGTAGTTCAGATGGAGAAGATGTTCTTACATTTAAAAATGAAATAGTTTATAATATAGATTATCTTAAAACCATAAGTTCCTTAAATGTTAACAACAATAACAAAATGATACTTATTGCTGCTATAGACATTATTTGACAACATGTTGATAGATTATTGAAGGAAAAACCTAATGTTCATGCATCCGAATTAATTCAGCTTGATCAACAAAAATTTTTTGATAGTGTTCCAGTATTAGTACAAAATTTTATATCATTATGCACATTAAGTATAAATGATTATGAAAATTTTAAGACAAATGATCTTGATTTATTTGATTTTAATACATTATTTTTCAAAAACTATCATAAAGTTTTGAAAATATCATCGATATGTTTAGATTTAATGTATTGTAGAAATGATGATTACATTACACATAAACATGTATTGTTAGCTATGACAATATTGAGATTATCTGGATCTATATATTTAATTCGAATATTAAATAGATTTGGAATTACATCATATATTGAAACAATAGAAAGGTTGAAAACAGAAGCTGCTGAAGAGGCATCTAGTCCAGATGAATTACCCAAAGGTAAAAATAGGTTATACTAAAAACTCGGTAGAATGCCTTTAGTAACAAACGATGACTTACTCTGCTTTAATAGTCAATGTATGAAATATTTGTTGAAGATCAATAACCATGAGTAGTTTCTTGTTTTCGCTTAGATATTGAACCCAATAATTTTGTTATAAAGGTTGTCGATAATTGTGATCTTAACACAAAAAGTACATTAGATGGAACAGGTAGTCTTCATTATGTTAATACATTATTTATTCAATATATTGGTCAACCCAAAACAGAAAACAATGATGATTATAACGAAGATAATGATGACGAAAAACAAGAGCAAAATAGACCAAGAAAGCGTAAATTTAAGGTGCGGAAAATCATTAATAACAGTACATCTGTATCAATTCAACAAATAACTAACGTTACAAGAAGTCAAAATACCAGGTCAACATTTGATGTTAAAACAATAGTTACAACAAGCTGTACAACGTATCTCGCGAAACACCGATTCCTTTAGGAAAAAACATGAAGTTCTCGTGGAGAATCGTCGATTTCTTGAGGAAGCAAGATGAAGTTCTTGTGGAGGAATACCGATTTCTTCAGGCAAGTCGTTTGAAAGACTAGGATAGAGCATGAAGTTCTTGTGGAAAAAAACGGGTGTCTTTAGGAAAAGCAGTGAAGTTCTTATGGACAAGCACTGATTTCTTTACGAAAAAACATTAATTTTTTGTTTTACCGGTTTCTTCGGGAGAAAAGGCAAAGTTCTCGTGGAGAAACGCCGATTTCTTCGGGAAAGAACATGAATTCCTTGCGGCGAAACATCGGTCTCTTTTGGAAAAAACATGAAGTTCATGTGAAGAAACGCTGATTTCTTCAGAAGAGACGATAAAGGTCTTGTGGAGAAACTTCGATTTCTTCAGGAGAAAACATAAAGTTCTTGTTGAGAAAGACTGATTTCTTCACGGAAAAACGTGAAGAGCATTTTGGAGAAAAACCGATTTGTTGGGGAACACACATGCAATTCTTCTTGAGAAACACCGGTTTCTTCAGGAAAAAGCATGAATTTTCTGCGGAGAAACGCCGATTTCTTCAGGAAAATAGATAAAGTTCTTGTGGAGAAATACCGATTTATTCAGGAAAGAAGATGGAGAAACTTTCATCTCTTCAGGGAAGTCGTTTGGGAGACTAGGATAGAGCACGAAGTTCTTGTGGAGAAACACCGATTTCTT